TTTACCAGTTTGACCGTAATAAACTTTATCGCAGATTTTACAAGGAATCTTATAGATACATCCGTCAGCATTTTGGGGGGAATTCTTTATCAAAAGTTTTTTTACTGTATCAAGATTTTTAAATACAACTTTGATATTAAAAGTCTTAAGAGAAGGCATATCAACCAAGTTTTCATGGTAAGGGAGAACCAACATGTTTAGTTGAATAAGGCTGGTTGTCCCTTTTTGGATTGAAAAAAGTATTTCTAGCAATTTTAAAAGATTTATCAATTACGTTTTTTGGGTATTTCAAATCGTTACCTATTTCATAAATTTTGGATATTTCCTCATCTATAAACTCTGGACTACAAATACGTGAAGCTCTCAAAAACATTGATGAGAAAACAGTTTAACTCTATCTTGACGTGAAGAATAATAGTGTACATAGGAACAGTTATTTGTAGGTTTTCTGAAATTTTAAAATATGAATTCATTTATTACTCATAATATTTAAAACAACTAAAAAAGGCAATGAGTTATTTCTCAAACTCAACAGTAAAATTATAGAATGGCTAAGCTATTTAATTTGCCAAGGAAAGGGTGAATATCTACATTCATGGGCACAAGAACACAATATCCATCAACAAAACAGAACCATTATAGCACTATTAGAGGGAGATTGTGTTAAGCAACCTTGTTTAAAAAAAATTAATGTATAGGTTACTAAGAACAGGTGAAAAGAGATATCCCCCTTGCCAACAAACTTCTGAGTGTAAAACTTATCATTAAAAAACAATATATAGCATCAACAATTGCAAGTTTAATAAGTTTAATTAGAGGAACTGGCAATGGTAATCATAAATATACGAGTTCTTCAATAAGAAACTTACAAATCATCTCAACAGGGAACTTACATAAACAAGGAAGTAACACAAAACTAACCATGTTTAACATCATTAAAGGTCAGTCAAGGAGCTTAAATTTATCAACTAAATCTTATGTTGATTTTAACATTAAAGCTACAATTTTGCCAACAATAGAGCTCAAAATGGTCAACCAGCCTTTTGATAATTTAAAGAGAAACTGAAACCATATGAGCTAAATAATTGCTCTGACCTGGATTCCCGGTATGTGTGTTTTTATAAGTCCCATACATGAAAGGTATAGAAGTAGGTTTGGTAGACCAGCAACCACCCAGGGAAGAACTACCGACCTTCCAGAAGACTGTGAAACAAAAACCGTAACTGTTTTGCATTATGGTAGGATTGCTGGTTCTTTTTCTGTCCTCATAAACACGCTGAGATAACAGGGATATCTTGCTACTCTACTTACCACTTTGGTCACACTTCACAACACGTACATGCAAAAATATATATACATACATCTAGGTTTTTTCTCCTTTTCTAAATAGCTCATGTTCTTTTTCTTTTTCTCTATTGTCCATGGGGAAGTGTGTGAAAAGAAAATCTTCCTCCGTAATCCATCGTGTCGAATGAGGCGACAAAAATCCGGGAGCAATGGGCTATTAACCCCTTTCTCCTGTATACAATTACTAAAAAAGAGAAGAAGAAAACATTATAAAACTGGTTTCTTAATGTGCGTTGGATGCAGTGCGATACAAGAAACAGTGATTGCTGATGTTATGAA